ATTTTCCAAATTTGGGCAAAATATGTTTATAAACAAGCAAACTACAACAATTTACTTATTCTCCATAACAATAACATGGGAATTTTAAATTTACAATTTTTTAGAATTTTCTCCGTAACCATTAGGCGCATTATAACGCTTCAATATACTAAATTATTTGTTTTTTTAGGCTCTACAAAATAGTTTGGAAAGAAATTGCAAAATTTTATGTTTTTTGGGTCAAAAATGGGAAAAACCCATTTTTACCCCATAAAAGCCCCCATAAACCCCCGTTCCCATGGTCCGCGAACCATCATGCTGGTTCGCGAACTCGTTCGAATAAACGTAGGTTTACACGTTTGTACCAAATTTCATCAAAATCGGATCATTTTTGCTCGAGTTATCGCGCTAACGGACATATATATATATATAAATATATATATATATGAATTTGAACGGATGGTGTTTTTGACCTCTAGGGACCTCAAAACGAAAAAAAAATCGGTCCCGGGTCCAGGTCTTACCGTGAGTACTACGGTAATAGCTTATTCCCTATATGGGAAATTCGCTAAAAGTAGAAAATAATTTATAAATAAAAAACTTTTTTAAAACAAAACGTTTTTAAACGCACTAAAAATTAGAAAATAATTTATAAATATGTGGAGAGTATAAATACTTGTAAGATTTAAAATGAAAAACGTGGGGTGTATGCAATTGATTACAATACATTAGTTCAATAGGGGAAGGTAATTGTAAATTATCTATTGCTTGCACCCCACGCTTTTCGTTTAAATCTTACAAGTATTTATACTCTCCACATATTTATAAATTATTTTCTACTTTTTAGTGCGTTTAAAAACGTTTTGTTTTAAAAAAGTTTTTTATTTATAAATTATTAAACATAGATTTATTGCTTACGTAAAAGTTCAGTAGTGGAATTTTTTATTGTGAAACAGTAGGCCTACTTTAAAACAAAATCACTACCGATCATGTCATTCTGTGTCAAGTCCAGATTATGCCATTGCCAGTCAGTCCGGCAACTGCTTTGAGTTGACCTATTCTGTTGTGACAGCTATAAAAATAGGTTACGACAACTAACTAATTGACTGGGACGGGTGGCGTCGTCCTGTAATCCAGCTACTAGGAGGTCACGAATTGTGGATATTTATAGGCATGCACTGTGGATGCGATACTCTCTGGTGTGGATTAACGTCCGCACTAGTGAGTACTGCGACTATCCGCAGTACTATCCTGATGATTAGACCAATTCGTACATACCAAGGCAAAAATGTGTTTCGGATTCCACTATAAATTGTAGGTCCCTTAGTTACCATTAGCTGTATGGGCTATTAATTAACAGCTGTGTCTAAGGAATATGTCGGCCTTAATCACTAACAAGACTACAAGATCGCGCCACTCATCCTACACTAATCTCCATTCATACTTGGCTTAAAATACCTACTTTGTATGGTCGCTAGGGGTGGGCGAGTACTCGACCTTCGAGTAATTACTCGAGTTTTTTCAAATACTCGACCTCGAGTCGAGTAGTAATTACTACTCGAAAATTCGAGTCGAGTAGTTATAAATAGTGCCACTTCACGATTTTCTACACCTATATTTAGTAAATTATATTTTGTTTTGTGTTGATGCCTTATTTAATCCCCATTCCTACAATAAACAACTATCTAATAAAACACACAATAACAAGTGATGTGTAGGCCTAGGCCTAAATAATTTAATGCTGCAGTCAACAAGTAGTCTAGGCCAAATTTTTTAGGCCTAAGGTAGGAGGTACTAAAAATTTGTAACCATATAACTTAGAAAATTTGGTATAAGTACTTAAACTACCTATTTAGGCCTAGGCAGGGTTTAGGCTAGGATGAAATTTGTTTCAGCAAAATGCTGCAAACTCTCAGCAAAGACAAAAACGAAGTTAACTATAGAAAAAATATTATTCAATAACTTAAGCATTTAAAACAAAAAATTCCAGTAGGCTAATATTGCATTTGTTTGAGCATTACAACTTTCAATTTTATTTGTAGAAAATTTGCCATAGGCCTAGCCTGCAAAACAATGTAAACTTAGCATTTTTAAGTTGTGAATAGCAAGATGCTAAAAATACTACCGGAGCTTAAACCCAGGGCCTAGGCCTACTTAACGCGCAACTACTCGACTCGACTCGATACTCGAGTTTTTACTTAAATACTCGACTCAAACTGAAAAATCACTACTCGCCCACCCCTAATGGTTGCCATTGCATAAAAAACTAAAAGTATTAAAGTACTACCTCTTGCTTATTTCTACACTGTAGAAATATTTGTATTACTGTAGAATCTACAGTAATACAAATTATAAAGCATTTGATATAAACACAAGTTACATTTTAACAAATATTGATTTTTTACATTTTTAAACCAAACTCAACTCGAAACTGCCGAGTTCAAATATAAGCTCGAGTTTAAAGGCCGTACTCGACTCGAACTTGAAATCTCGAGTACTCGCACATCTCTAGTTATTCGTTTTAAATTACGCCTGTAATACTTAACAATTGCTCGAATTCGAGCAACAGGTACACTTGTACTGGTTTATTCCCCCCCTAGTATTTTGAGTCACAATTTTACAGAAAGCTTTTGTTGTCTAATGGTGAAACAATTACTTTTCCTACTTTGGAGCAAACATGCAACTAACTGGTACTTCTTGAAATTACTAAGTACAGTAGATCGATTAATTGTTTCAAAACAACCAAAACTGGCTGGAAAAATGAGATATTCAAGCATTATGTAGTGTGATGACAAATAATTTATGTCTAAGTCCATTACTTCAGTGGCTATCTACTGATGAGTTTTCTCTCTTAAGTTTAGTCAAAAAGGGTACTAGACAGAGTATGAAGATATATGATTGATAGATGAACAAGTATGTTGAATACTGGAATAATGATCAAGCCTAGATTTTAAGATAAATTTCCTGGAGTTGACAAAGACAGGTTTGATTTTTGGTGAAAGCCAAAAGTTAACTAGAGAACTAGTTAAGCAGCAGGCCATGCATTTATTCTCCGTTCACACAATTTGGCCGGTTGTAGGGGAAGAAATCTATCTCCTCCAATTGATCCTACCTTTAAAATAATAGCTCAATGGATGAGGTTTGTCAAAATGTCAATCAGCTGCAACATGTTCATTAAAAAAAGTAGTGGGGGAACTTCCCCTCAAATCGCCTAAAATTTGTGAACAGACTATAGGACTTGCTGAGCAAATGACTAGATGCAAGATCATAACTGAAAAATTACTTAGAATTCTACACCAACTTCTCTTTAAAAGCATAAACATGATTAAACTTACAAAAAAAAAAAAAAAAAAAACACATGAAACTAAAAAAAATTGATGCTCACTATAACTTAACACTAGTGTACCTGTTGCTCGAATTCGAGCAATTATGAAGCATTACAGGCGACTCACGAAGATTATGGAAATACTCACGATCTACACAACAGTTAGATATTATTATTATTATTATTATTATTATTATTATTATTTCTTTGTCATGAGAGCCGAAGCCCCCTGACTACATACCCGGTACCTATCGTGAGACATACCCGGGCCCCATGATGTAGGCCGAAGCTTACGCATCAACCTTTAGCACATCATGGGCGGATGACTTAAGGTCATCAGGCTCGCCGGCTGCCGAAGCAGACCCTTCGGAAAGAGGGTTGCCCCTCAATCCTAACCAGGGATTCCGGCTACTTGTTTAAGCGTCACTCCACCTGGGTTCCACCAGGTACAAAGCCCTAGAGGACCATAATGGAGCGCCCCGACGCATTTAGTGCAAGCAACACTCGGGACCTATCTAATCCCTGACAGGCAGAACCCGCCATCATAGCCAGAAGGAAGGGGACCGTCAGCAACCCAAACCTCCCATTTACACAGTTAGATATAATCAAAATCTTTTGTAAATATCTTGTCTTTTCTCAAAAAGCTGATCTTGTTTTTTAGTGTTTCTACAAATTTTTACCTCTCATAGCCGCATTAGGTTGTCTATAACGATTTTAAATGAAAAAAAAAACATTATTTCTTTTTTTCTACTTGGTTGTGTTCTATGACTTTTTCTATGTTTCCATTGTTTGCAAATCGGTTATTTCAATGATTGCTCAAGAAATGTAGCATATTGTTAATTTAGTTTTATTTTTAGCCCATATCAAATTGTCCAGGATTTTTCCATTGTAATAATTTCACCAACCCAAGTTTCGTCTACAGATGGAATACGCCAAAGAATATCACCTACGTACAATCTCCAAGAAGTGGTAAAAAAAGGCAGAAACCAAGCTATACAACAGATATAAGTTAACTACATAAGAAATAATTTTAAGAGTTACTGTGATATTAGAATTTTCCACTGATTTGGTAATAGAACATTATATTGCAAAACATGACACGATGCAGAATAAAATCGATTTTAAAATCAGAAAAACCCATTGCAAATACTGTACTTCATTTTGAAAAATTCAATAAATCACAATTTAAATATTAACAGCTGTTTCATTAAAAAGTAGTTTTGAATTATGCATATGGTAAAACAAATTTGAAGATGCAACTTTAAAGGCTTCTGGGGCAGAGCCCCAAGGGAATTTACATCGTTCCTCTTTTGATGGCTCATCTATAGACCAAGACCTTTCTTTAGAGACCCCTACCAAGTTTCTAGGCCCAGCCGTTCTCTCAAATTAGCTGGGACAAAAACCCAGTTTTTCCTTCATAAGAATAACATGGGATGGGACTTTAAAGGCCACTGGGGCAGAGCCCCGAGGGAATTTACCACGTTTCTCTTTTGATGGCTCATCTACAGACCAAGACCTTTCTTTAGACACCCCTACCGAGTTTCTACGACCAGCTGTTCTCTCAAAATAGCTATGACAAAGAAAAACAGTTTCAAATTAATATATAGATAATAACAATATATAACAATGAATGGAAAGGTTTTAGGGGAAATAACGTTGTACAATTCTTATACTACAATTCTACATGTCTACTTACTTTCTATAAATATCAACAAGCTGAGGGAATGATATTCCGATGTTGTAGAAGGTGTTGAAGACATTGCAGCGGTTGGCATCTTCCCGGCAACAGAGTTGCTCTAGCTGCCACATCAGGTAAGCTGCAAATAACAAGACCGGTTTAGTTCATGAGCATGATGAAATACCCCCGCCGCAGCAAACCTGCAGACTAAGCGAATTTCAACTTGTCTAATTACATTTTTACTAAAATATTTCCATAAATAAGACATATTATTCCCTATTTAAATAACATTAGATTTAACAAGTGCTCAGGTTTGCTGCTACGGGGAAGGTAAAAAGTGTTTTTTGACCATACATCAATAGTTTAGGATGAAATAAATAAATTTGCCAAATTTTAGCGAATTTCCCATATAGGGAATAAGCTATTACCGTAGTACTCATGGTAAGACCTGGACCCGAGACCGATCTAATTTTTCATTTTGAGGTCCCTAGAGGCCAAAAACACCATCCGTTCAAATTCATATATATATATATATATATATATATATATATATATATATATATATATATATATATGTGTCCGTTAGCGCGATAACTCGAGCAAAAATGATCCGATTTTGATGAAATTTGGTACAAACGTGTAAACCTACGTTTATTCGAACGAGTTCGCGATCCAGCATAATCGGACCATGGGAACGGGGGATTATGGGGGGTTTTATAGGGTAAAAATGGGTTTTTCCCATTTTTGAACCTAAAAACAAAAAAATTTGCGATTTCTTTCTTAAACGTTTTGTAGAGCTTAAAAAAAAAATAATTTAGTATATTGAAGCGCTGTTGTATGCCTAACGGTCACGGAGAAAATTCAAAAATAGTGTAATTAAAACCAATTACACAGATACAACCAGATCTATTCAGTTGGGTGCGAATATTGAAGGACAAATCAATGTACTGGCTTTTGCTGATGATGTAGCCTTATTGGCTGAAAAGAAAAATGACCTAAAAGTATTAGCTGAAGCCTTCATAACAGAAGCAGGAAAGGTAGGGTTACAAGTGAATGAAGATAAAACAAAATTTATGAAGATAGGAAGGCAGGCAGAACATGTGACCTCAACACTGGAATGTTTGAGTTATACATTTTCTGTCACAGAAGAATTTAAATATTTGGGTGTGATAATAAACAGCCAGAATAAGATGGATCAGGAAATACAAGCTAGATTGAATGGAGCTGATAGATGCTATTGGAGCTTATCAAAACTTTTGAAAAGCAGACTCCTGTCAAGAAACACCAAGGTGCGAATATATCTGGCAATAATCCAACCTGTTCTTCTCTATGGATCGGAAGTATGGACCCTCACAAAGAACATAGAGAGAAAATTAATAACTTTTGAGAATAAAATACTGAGGAGAATATACGGACCAACTTTGGAAGATGGGGCGTGGAGGATTAGAAAGAATAAAGAGTTAAGGGACCTTTATAAAAGACCTGATATTGTAGCTTTAATTAGAAGTAGGAGAGTCAGATGGCTTGGGCATGTTAGAAGAAGAGAAGAAGGCAGCAGTATAAGAAGAGTGTGGAGGGGAAAGCCTGAAGGAAGACGCCCACTGGGGAGACCGAGATTTAGATGGGATGACCAGGTTGCTGAAGACATCGGAAGACTGGGCGCAGAGTTGGACGAGGCAGAAGATAGAGAAAGATGGAGGCACCTTGTTGGCGAGGCCAAAAATCTCCTTGGATTTGTGTGGCCACAGGAGTAAGTAAGTAAGTGTAATTAAAAATTCCCATGTTATTCTTATGGAGAAAATGAAAATTGTTGTAGTTTACTTGTTTATGGGTATATATTGATAAAATTTGGCAAATTTATTTATTTCATCCTGAACTATTGATGTATGGTCAAAAAACACTTTTTACCTTCCCCGTAGCAGCAAACCTGAGCACTTGTTAAATCTAATGTTATTTAAATAGGGAATAATATGTCTTATTTATGGAAATATTTTAGTAAAAATGTAATTAGACAAGTTGAAATTCGCTTAGTCTGCAGGTTTGCTGCGGCGGGGGTATTATCAATATATACCCATAAACAAGTAAACTACAACAATTTTCATTTTCTCCATAAGAATAACATGGGAATTTTTAATTACACTATTTTTGAATTTTTTTTGTGACCGTTAGGCATACAACAGCGCTTCAATATACTAAATTATTTTTTTTTTAAGCTCTACAAAACGTTTAAGAAAGAAATCGCAAATTTTTTTGTTTTTAGGTTCAAAAATGGGAAAAACCCATTTTTACCCCATAAAACCCCCCATAATCCCCCGTTCCCATGGTCCGATTATGCTGGATCGCGAACTCGTTCGAATAAACGTAGGTTTACACGTTTATACCAAATTTCATCAAAATCGGATCATTTTTGCTCGAGTTATCGCGCTAACGGACACACATATATATACAGGGTGTCCCGGAACTCTCTACCAATATTTTTGGGCATTGATCCTGGGTAAGAAACGTACCTAAATATCATATTTAAATTGTCCGGAAGTCCTTAGTTACTCACACAGCCGCCATTTTGTTTTTTTCAGTTATACATTTTTTTCAAAAGAATGGTTAAACATACGACATGGAAACTTTGCACAAACATTTATGACAACTAGACAAAGCTACAAAAGAATTATGACGATTTTTCAAATTCATAAAACAAAATGGCAGCCATTTAAAATTTTCTTTCTTAAATAACTCAAAAACCATTGATTTTACAAAAATTTTAAATGGCCGCCATTTTGTTTAATAAATTTGAATAATCGTGATAATTTTTTGGTAGCTTTGTTTAGTTGTCATAAATGTTTGTGCAAAGTTTCCATTTCGTATGTTTAACCATTCTTTAGAAAAAAATGTATAACTGAAAAAAACAAAATGGCGGCTGTGTGAGTATCTAAGGACTTCCGGACAGTTTAAATATGATATTTAGTTATGTTTCTTACCCAGGAGCAATGCCCTAAAATATTGGTAGGGAGTTTCGGGACACCCTGTATATAAATCTATATATATAAAAGGCAAAGCCCTCACTGACTGACTCACTCACTCACTCACTCACTCATCACTAATTCTCTCACTTCCCATTTATCTAGGAGGCTAAAATTTGGTACACTGATTCTTTAGGCATTAAATAGGAAAACTAAGTTGTTTTTATTCTGATCGGACTCTCGGGCTCCGTCCCAGTGGCTCTGGGGTTTCCAATGTTAACCTTATGAGTACTCATATTTAAATGGAATTAATGAATCTTAACTATTATTTTTTTTTAATTTATGACAACATCTAATTTGCAACCAAAAGGTGAGTGAGCGTAGCGAACGAACTTCAACCTGGAGGCGAGTTAGCGTAGCGAACGAGCTAACCTGGAGGCAAGTGAGCGCAGCGAACGAGCTCCAACCTAAAGGTGAGTGAGCGTAGCGAACAAACTTCATCCAGGACGTGATTGATCCATGCGAACGAGCTCACTTATGAAGTAAAACGGGGCAAAGCCCGCGGGTACAGCTAGTATATATATATATATATATGAATTTGAACGGATGGTGTTTTTGGCCTCTAGGGACCTCAAAATGAAAAATTAGATCGGTCTCGGGTCCAGGTCTTACCATGAGTACTACTTTTTTAAATATTTCAAACCTTGTTATGAATTTATTTTAGTGATTAAAGCGGGCCACTCATACTGAGATCGGTTGCGACACATGGGTTTCATGATACATGTATCGCAACCGATCTCAGCGTGAGTGACCCGCTTTTACAGAGATGCTACCATAGTGAGTTAAAATAAAAAAATTCATGGGTTTCATTGGAGGTAAAAAAAAAAACAAGGTATATGTGCTTGTATGTCTAGTCGTATGGTCAGTGTATTTTTAAGAGATAGTTGTTTATATTGGAGAAGAATATAAACAAGTTGAATTGGTATAGGCATGATCTTAACATTGCATCCAAACAGAAGAAGATTAATCCAGCTTACTGCTTAAACATTACCACAGAGAAGTAAGAAACAGAGGAAACATTCAACGGTACACTTAAGTGTTGTTATGCTCTTCCTTTCCTCCCTCGCCATCACGTACTACAGCTCCCATGCTGTAGGAAGACCCTGTGCGCTACAACTGCTGTAAAAATATTCTATGTGGCCATTGCTGTTTGGCCTCTTCCTTGCTCGATTCTATTACATTTTTGCCCCAACATACCAGAGCTAAAAGTGCACAGCTGTCCCATAAGCTTGCATCCTCTGTATCTTACTTCTCTGTGACCTTACCTAAAAATAAAAACACTCCAACAAAGAAAAGATTAGGTAAATATGAAAGCTGAGAATGAACACCAGGTACAAAAATTTAAAGCAAAAAGTAGGGATGGACGGATCCACAAAATTTTGAGAAATTTTTGAGGATATTTCCGATTTTTAAGACGGGATTTCATTTTAATTTGAGATTTTTTGGACCAGATTTGCAACAGTACAGTAAGTCTCAGCGAATTTTTCCGTTTAGCGAGTGATGATGACGTCTCTGTGATCACAGAAGAAGTCAACGGTTTAGCGGGTGGTGATAAAGGTGATGACGGCTCCGCGACAGCGGAGAAGTTCACGATAGTTCCACAACTCTAGGAGAAGTTGACGATGTTTTAATGACTGGGGAAGATGTTCACAATTTTGGTGTGATTGTGGCTAACAATAATGATTTCTTTATGACAGAAAGAAATGTTCACGATAGTACAACAAACGCAGGAGACGATGACGACGTCTCTGTGATTTGAAACCATTGTGACTGTTGTAATCCTTTGAAACCACCAGTGTGGCCCGGGGATATTTTCACTAAGCTTCCCCCATCCAGGAGAAGTTGATGATGACTCCGTGACTACCAAAGATGTTCATGATTTCACCATGATTACAGAACATGTTCTTGATAGTGCTGCAAAAGTGGTAAAACAATGATAATGTCTCAATGACCGCAATAAATTATTTGGAAATTTCTTGCTCCAATTGCATAATTTAGACATATTTTTATGTTCACAAAAATTCTGCATAATTCACATTTTTCATGGTATGCAATAGCCTATGGCAACCTTGTTTCACTTCAATTTTGACAAACAAAATTACGTACCAACAGGGAAACACCTGGAGCTGATGAGGTACTGGGTGCCCAGCTCCTTGACCTTGGCCAGCACTACCCCAACCTTGTCCTCTGTGGCTAGGTTTACACCACGACACATCTCTGCAATATCAAACACAGTATATAGTACGTACAGGGAAACACCTGGAGCTGATGAGGTACTGGGTGCCCAGCTCCTTGACCTTGGCCAGCACTACCCCAACCTTGTCCACTGTGGCTACTTAACACTAATCTATACTATTATAAAAAAGAGGTGGTGTCTGTGTGTGTGTATGGGAAAAGTAAACGCGAAAACTACTGGTCGGATCGGGCTGAAATTTGGCATGATGATAGCTCACATTCCCGATTAACATATAGGCATATTTTTATCCCAAAAATCCTTTCGGGCTCCACTCCAGTGGCTCTGGAGTTTCCCATGTTAACCTTATGAGAAATGAAATTATTGAATCTTAACAGCTGTTTCAATTAAACAAGTTGGTTCTGTTCTGTGATGTTCAATAGCATTAAAGTTACAAGGATTACCAACAGGGTGCAGCACTAGCACTATTATTTCTTTTACATTTATGACAACAGCTAATTTGCAACCAAAAGGTGAGTGAGCGTAGCGAACGAACTTCAACCTGGAGGCGAGTGAGCGTAGCGAACGAGCTAACCTGAAGGCAAGTGAGCGTAGCGAACGAGCTAACCTGAAGGAAAGTGAGCGCAGCGAACGAGCTCCAACCTAAAGGTGAGTGAGCGTAGCGAACGAACTTCAACCAGGACGTGATTGAGCCATGCAAACGAGATCATCTTGAAAATTAAGAAGTTAAACGGGGCAAAGCCCGCGGGTTACAGCTAGTTTATTTTAAATTTCAACCAATTTGAAAGTTTCCGTAGCGAAGCACAGGTATTTCCGCTACGCTAGTAAATCATATAAATAATTTCAACCAAATAAGAAATGTAAAATCGTCTTTGAGGTGTATCAAATATGGTGTACCTCAACGTTTGATTCTTGGTCCCATTTTATTTCTTTGTTATATTAAAAAGGTCTGCCAACAGCATTAACAGATAATATGGCAAAATTGTGTCTATATGCTGATGATGCAAATTTGTTAGTTTCCGGTAAATGTTTTAATAAAATACAAGAGTCGGCCGAAAACAATCTGTTATCTATAAAAAACTACTACCGCGGCGCTATTGTGAAAATCACCACGGTCCGATATATCAAGCGGCCAAAGGGTTAAGGTTATGTGAAGAAATAATTTAAAGGAATCAGCAAAAATAATAATAAACAGTTGCCAGGCAGCGGTAGCAAAATAACAAGTCTATTGCAATGCTATGGATACAGCTTGTATCTTTATACATTATTGTTTTAAGTAAATAAGCAAACAGTTGATTTTGCAGCCCTAGGGATGTAAAAACCTGCTCGGTCCCCAAAATGACGATGACATCTGGCGTGGCCAGCAAAACGTAACTTTCAGCCACCCATTAACGTATGTAAAACAGCTAAAAATATCATAGTGTGGTGAAAATAAACTTTTGTCAGTAATGAATGAGAAGAAACACGGTTAATCAAACTGAAAAAATCTGGTATGCAAAAAATAAATTGTGACAGTTTGCCCAAGCTTCTATATTGGCCAGATTGCCCGTTTTTAACACGATTTAAAGAACATCTTCCAAAACCATTCATAAACCAGCCTAACTCCACCTTTGCTGAACATTTAATTAACAATAAACATGATTAAACAGACATCCAAACTAATTTACAAGTTTTACGTTCGCATAAAGGAAGAGGAACATTTCTAGACACTACCGAAGAGTACGAAATTTACAAGGCCGGCCAAAAACACCCTCAGTATATCCTGAACAATAAATCCTCATTTGAAGCTAACATAATATATGACACGGTTTTGAACATCGACAAGATCTTATCAACAGCTGATAACCCTAGGGGGAAGCTGGGGAGAGGATTAGGCGGTGTCAGTCTGGACCTACACCCTGTACCTGCCGCCGTGTAATAATGACAGTGTTTGTTTGCATTGCCATGTGTTTTATTTGTTTTTTTGTGTTTATACATTTGTGTGACTACGTGCTTTTTAAGACTTTTGACGACCTCCATCGAGTGATAGATTCTACGCCTAGCTTGACAATGATGCCATAGACAGGCATCGAAACTGGTCGCCTACAGAAGACATAAGGATTACTTTGACAGAAATAAGATAATTACCCTCTTGTAATATTATCTCTGAAATATCAAACAAATATACAGTATACCAAACTTTTTTACTAACATTGAATAGCACATTAATTAGTAAAATAATGTGCGGTTTTTTGTAAGTTTTTTTAGTAAAATTTGTATACCTACCATCTTGAATGATGTTGTCCCAAATGCCTTGGATAAGGTCCACATCATCATGACCAGACACATCTATGATGGCTAGCTGACACTCCCACAGTTTGTATGGCTCAGCAAACTCCTCATACAACTGGGGAAAAAAGATTATCGTTAATACAGCTTTTATAAGTTATTGAATTCAAAATTTTGTTAGCAATAAATTGTCAAAAGAGGATCATTGGAAAGTTATTAAAGAACGGAAAATCATTGTAGGTTATTGATAATTAACAGAAATTCCTGATCCTATAAAAAAAACTCTCATACAACTCTCATAAAACACAAAAATAAAAAATAATGATAACTAAGCATTAATTTTAGGAGATTTTGACAGAGTCCTTTTGTAGCCAAATACATTGCAACATTCAAACATATGTTCCATATGGTAAAAACTATAGTAAGGAAGGACCAATTTCAAAATTTTGGTAAATTTTTAGAAAAACATATTTTTGATCATTTGGGCATTAAAAATTGGGCCTTTTCTCATAACGGGATTTGTTCCAAATAAGCAAATTCCCTACAATCGAGAGTGAGGATGACGATATTCCTGCAATCGCAGAAGATGTTAACAATGCCGCTGTGATTGCGGGAGATGTGATAAACAAAAATGATTTTGTTTATCATTATTGCTAGTTGCAGGAATTTCCCTCAGCATTTTAAGAACAAATCAAAACTTTCCTCCTGTGAGAAGCAAAATTCCGTTCAAAAAATCAGGAAGGAAATAAAAATTAAAAATCCTGCCTGGTCCCATACTAAAAGTTCTGTACCGTCCAGCCTTAAATGATACCTATTTTATTGCATCTTTTTATATTGGTAAAATGTTGAATTAGTTAAACTTAATACATTTATGAAACAAATTAACTTAAATTAGGGTTTTAAAAATAAAATTGCTGAAATACTAACCTCTGTGATGGTGAGTAAACAAGAGTTGAGTCTTTTAACTGCTTCTTCTGCTTGTCTATGTAAATTTACAATATTTGCCAGTCCATCCAATACCTTTAAAAGATTCATATAATTAAAATAACCACCTCTAGATATTTGACAAGAAAACCAACAATTTTACAAAATGAACTCTTCATATTGACTTTTTTAATAAATAAAAAGGTTGGTAATGGTGGCCTCTTTTAATAACTTTTCATTTGCCCAACCACATAGGCCTCAACCTCGTATGTGGAACCATAGACTAACCAACACAAGTAGATTTCTCATTCCTTTGTAAATTTTGAAGCTCGTTTTTCGTGACTAGTTCATGTACGATGACAACGGGCGCTAGTGTCGACGAAATTTTGTTTCTATTATTTTAGGGTTAATTTCTTGATTTGTGCTTTACTGTTTGGTTATATAACTAGGGGACAAGTTTTTGTTTATGATTAGATTGTATTATTTGGTTTAAATTACTGTAATAACAGGAAACAAATTGTAAACAAAACACGACCTCTACATAAACCGTTCAGAACTAACAATAAAATTGTCTTCAGCTGTTCCATAAGGATGAGAAATCTACTAAGGGAGTATGTTTTATCTATGGTGGAACGTATGCAGCAAAACAAGGGGTGAGCCGGTAAGAGTACATACAAAGATAAACTTTGTGATCCAATTTTAGGTTTTTTAAAACTTGATTTAATTTTGTAGTGGGCTGACTTGATTTAACTAGGGTCTGAACTGATGACATCGCTGATAATAACCATGAATTCAAAGTCTGTGGTACCTGCTGTCCGGACAGCACTATTTGCTTTAGTGCTGAGCCACAACCCCATTAATAATTCATCATGGTAATAGCTTTTATTACTAAGGTAATGATGCAATTACAATCCCATTCATATCTCATCATGATATTTACAAGTACTTCAAGTTGAGTAATTCAGGGTAGCTACCAGATTTTTCAAATGAAATTCCTGACTTAACACTAACATTAAACAAAATCCCAACCAACAACTCCGAAAACAAACGAACCAACGAACCTAACCAACAACGAACAAAACAGTAACAAGGAATGATGTGACATAACCGGATGGATACAATGGATGATGTCTAGACCTTGCATCCATCCGGTCGTGTCACATCATTCCTTGTTACCGTTTTGTTCATTTTAATTGTGTTAAATGTGCTGTTTTTACGTTTTAAAGTCTGTGTTCGTGTGTCGTGTTTTTATGTACTTTATGTGTAATGACAGCCTTCATATGAAGTGACCACCCTTTGACATCCTTGTCGCCTGAAGATGACTTTGTAGAAAGTCTAAACTAGTTGCGACACTAGCAACAAATAGGATTACTACGAAGCAGGTATTTACACCAATTTAATAAAAGGATTAAGCCGATTGTAACTAATGTACCAACAACTTTAAAGTACCCTAAACCTTTATCAAACAAAAATCATAACAACTCATTTGGAAATTTAAAAATTTTAACATTGGCCTTATGGGTTGCCAAGTAACAATGTCAGTTAAACAAAATAACAAGTAATAATTTATTTGTTGTAAAAAACCGACTTCAAATGCTCAAAATGAATGAAATAGTTTTAATAAAGTAAACATTTTAAATAATTACGCTCTCATATTTCAAGTCTGATGATTACCACACAACTCTCTATGATGATTTTTTAGCTAGAAGCGGTTAACCCTAGATCTGGCGGTCATTTTATTCACCAGTGGCGGGTATATTTTGGTGCTTTTGTAGTGGTCTCATATATTTTGCCACAGAACATTTATTTGTGAATATAAGTACACACATATATATATTTTCTATTTCATTGATGAATTTAGAATATACCTAATAATATAAAAATATTCTTTTCCTAGCAATGTGTTTAGGCGTAGTAGCAAAAGGTTTGCAAATTTTTGGATTATGCAAATTAGAAATTTCAAAAGCAACCCATAAGAAAACCACAAAATAATTTTTTACACATTTTATCTAAATGTAAAGTTTGTGTGAAATATGATTCCCTGCGTAGAAATATCAATGTTTTTTAAATACTCATAAAAATAAAATTATAGAAAAATAAATTCTTTATACATATTTTCTTTTTTGAAAAACTACCAAATTTCTTTTTGTCACGTAGGAAATAAATAATAGAATGTATCAACAAAAAATGAAATGATACTGTACATTAGGTAATAAAAAGATCTTTCTGAAAATATATAGTTATATTTAGTTGAATTCTATAATGTCGGAGAAATTTACGTCGGAATGTAACATTTTGAAGATTTTTTTACAAAAACATAATATTTATGACATTTTTAAAAACAAATAAAATTTTTACAATCAACCTTATAGATTCACAGGGAATTGTAGGGAATTTATTGTAGTTTCAGAATATGTACTAATATTGTATACAATTTAATTGACAATCACCAAAAACAGCTGTTTTGTAGTCAGGTGACCAATACTTTCCACCGCCAAAATCTATTTTGAACTCTCTAGTTTTTCAAACTACCGTTTCTCGTTACATAATACTCACTCAATAATGTTTTATGCATGAAAATGAATCAGAATCTCATCTTTCTAATGGTATAAGATTTATTGCGTTTTAAAACTGTTTTCATATTTTAATAATAGAAAAACCCGACCCATGTCATCTTGGTCTATAATCGACCAGCGCCACTGAGAACTCACGTTTTAGTGGTCGAAAATCGACCAGCGCCAGATAGAGGGTTAAGCTGTGGTGTAATATCTTTGAAGATGAACCTTTTTAGTGTGATCATGTGTTCAGGCGTGTCAAATTCTGAGGTGAAATAAAAACAAACAAACTGGCATACTTTTTTTTTTAGGGAGAGGAGGGAAAATGCTTTTACGCACACAGGTAGCCAGCCTGTAGTGTGAGACTCCTGAAAATTATCAGACTACTCACTAAAAAACCCCCTCCACTCTGTTGGACACAGACCTGGAATTGTTTGTCACATTACTTCAAGTGAGGCCAACATGCGACCTAAGCCCTCAGGGCTCGCACCGTTTCTGGCATTTAGATTCTTAATGACCTACACCGCATCCCGGTCAAGGTCGATCTTCTTGGCGCGGAGAATACCCTGGATATAATGTGACACACAGGTCCAATTGTCCTCACCCTCCGTCATAATCGGTATGACCGTGTCCACCGACAGCAGTCCTACTAACTGTTGAGCCTCCAGGCGGGGCCTTTCCCAGCGCTGGCAGTGGAAAAATGTATGTTCCACGTCATCGAGAATGCCTGGGCAGTATATGCAGTCGGGTGACACGGCTTTGCCCATCCTGAACAGGTACGACCGGAAAAAGCCGTGTCCCGTCAGAAATTGGGTGAGGTAGAAGTCCACCTCTCCGTACCGCCGATCAACCCAAGGTTGGACCTGCTGTATCAGTCGCCTGGTCCAGAGTCCCCGTGTCTCTTGTTCCCAGCCCTCCTGCCAAAGCTGGTAGGTGCGGGTGCGTTCCTCTGTTCGTGCCTCGTCCTCCCCACGGCGCCGGTAAATTGCCTTTCTCTCCGCCGCCAAAAGTTTGACGGGGATGACTCCAGCAATCACCAGGACGGCGGGCTCGGACACTGTTCGGTAGGCAGATGCTACCCTCAGTGCTGCCTGACGCTGCACTCGGGCGAGCCGCATCCTGTATGCCTCCTTATTTAGTGCGTCTGCCCACACCTCCGCACCGTACAAGAGTACGGACTGGACCGAAGACATTAACAGCCTTCTACGACTGGACCGAGGCCCTCCGACATTGGCCATCAACCGGCTAAGAGAAGAAACCACCCTAGCGGCCTTGTCCGCTGTACGGATCTGATCCCGCCAGCTAAGCTTGCTGTCTACCATGACCCCAAGATACTTGGCAGAACGAACAGTTTGAACCTCGACGGCTCCCACCCTCAACCTGATGGTGTCAATCCGTTTTTTTGTCAAAATCACGATCTCGGTTTTGCTCAGAGCAAGCGAGAGACCGTGGTCTGCCATCCATGCGTTTATGGTACGCATAACTCGGTTTAGCTTTAGCTGAGCCAGCTCAACGCTACGTGCAGCTATCAAAGCAGCAACGTCGTCTGCGTACCCAACCAAGACCGTTTCCTCAGGCATTTCAGACCTCAGAAGGCTGTCATAAGCGACGTTCCAGAGGTCTGGGCCGAGTATGGAACCTTGGGCAGCACCAGAAGTGACACTCATCGTCCGCGGGCCCTCCGCAGTGTCATACGTTAGGAGGCGAAACCGGAGATAATCCTCTATGATGCGCATGAGGTATGCCGGCACGTGGAAGGTGTTCTCCAGAGCGTCCAGCATATCGCACCACCTCGCCGAATTAAATGCATTTCGCACATCGAGCAGCACAACCCTGCGAGAGTAGTGATTAAAATCCTCAGCTCTCATCACGGCTTGCTTCACCTCCTCAATCGCATCAATCGTTGATCGCCCCATCCTGAATCCATACTGACGAGGGGAGAGGTCCCCCGCAGCGACAACGGCTGAATTTAGCCGGGAACGGATCAATTTCTCGAGGACTTTGCCAGCCGTATCCAACATACACAGAGGTCTGTAAGAGGATGGCAGATCTGGGTCTCCCTTGCCCTTCCCAACAAGCACAAGCCTAGCTGTCTTCCAGCACAAGGGGAAAACCCCTTCAACCAGGCAGGCGTTGTACATGCTCAAAAGGATCAAGGTGTTGGTAGTCAAAACCTTCTTGAGGACTTCACCGGGTACCCCATCGGGACCAGGAGCCTTGTTGTTCTTCAGGGATATGACGGCTGCCACCAGCTCTTCAGGGCTGAAAAGTGGGACGTCGTCCACCCTTCCAAAATCCCGCAGTGGGCGCAACGCGTGAGCCGGGAAAAGGGACTCGACTATCCTCTCCATAGTGACCCTGTCCATGACGGAAGGTGGAGAGCGGGTTCCAAGTTTCTTGGTTACAAGTTTGTAACCCAGGCCCCACGGGTTGGAATCAACATCGTCCCTTAATTTATCCCAGCAACTGCGTTTACTCCGATTGATGGCTCGACGAAGATACCTCCTAGCCACCCTATAAGCATCCGACTTACGCCGTCTG